GGTACAGGTGAATTGGGTAGGCTAAATTGTCCGTAGTGTATTAGTGTGTGTGTGAATGTGTGTGTGGGTGTTTCCCAGAGATGGGTTGCGGCTGGAAGGGCATCCGCTGCATAAAAACTTGCTGGATAAGTTGGCGGTTCGTTCCGCTGTGGCGACCCCGGATTAATAAAGGGACTAAGCCGACAAGAAAATGAATGAAGGAATGAATTCAGATTTAAACCTTTTCATTCACTTCAAGGCCATTTTCAAAAACCCGTAACGGCGCTTTTTTAAGGTTTTTCGAAAGCAACATAATCGTTTTATGTTTAATCCACTTAAATTTGTAAAAAACATTTCTTAGTGTTTCTAATAACAGAATAATCGTGGCTTTAGCTCTACATGTTTTTGAGAGGTGTTTTAATAAAGGCATTCACCTGGCACAGAAAGAGAGCTGACACTGCACTATTCTGTTGCACTGATGAGCAATTAAGAAGTAGAGGGAAAAAAAGAGTCAAATGTGTGTATAAAGAGAATGGAGCTGTGCTGGTAATTGTGCTGGCGTCCTCACCGTTTCACTCCAAAAGTGTTTGGTTCAGTGGAAGGTGTGATGTTCTTAAGGGAGAACATTGTGTTTGTTTAGCATCTCTTCCCTCTCTCTCTCTCTCTGCTTTATTAGTTTGCTCTCTTTGAACCATTAATACTGTTTTATTCTTCACAGTTACAAATCATGTGACTAATTAGTCTACACAAACTGTTTCTTAGTACATTTCACAACTAGCTAAAGCAAAGTTCTGTTTACTTCAAGAGCAATAACAATAATGGTTAAATTAAAATATATAGAATCTAAAACGGGGTGACACTGTGGCTCATTGTCACCTCAATGCAAGAAGGTCGCTGGTTCGAGTCCCAGCTGGGTCAGTTGGCATTTCTGTGTGTAGTTTGCATGTTCTCCCCGTGTTGATGTTGGTTTCCTCCGGGTGCTCTGGTTTCCCTCACAGTCAAAGCACATGTGCTACACGGGAATTGAATAAACTAAATTGGCCGTAGTGTGAATGTAAGAGTGTCTGGGTGTTTCTCAGTACTGGGTTGCGGCTGGAAGGGCGTCCACTCTCTAAATCATATCCTGGATAAGTTGGTGGTTCATTCCGCTGTGGCGACCCCTGATAAATAAAGGGATTAACTGCAAAACAGTCCACTTTATGTGAAAAAGAAACACCCCTTACACCAGGCTGGCTACAGGCCTGTCTATATCCACTGAGAAACGCATTTTCAAAATGGAGTGTACTCATTTATGTTGAGCATTGCGTATTTCCTTACAAAACATACAACAGTAATCTTCGCACTGTTTACATATTAAAAACGGATTATTTACATCGTACCTGACAAACTGAGCAGTTCCAGCGCCTACCAGCAGGGCTAATCAGCAGCTAAACCCAGATGGATCGCTTTCATTAGTCTCCGCAAACAGAGAGACAATGAGACCACGGTGAAGAGTTTGGGAAGTGGCAGCCGGTTAGTTTATATGCTAATGTCCTCCGTCTCCATGCGCATACCCAAACAGGAAACGCTCCAGACGTCTTCCTGCTAATGTTATTGGATCATATAAAAGCTGGGCTTTCTCTCTTTTGTACTCGTATATGCCTTCACAAGTATTATTGTTCGGATTCATCCAGTCTAAATAAGCTCTGGATATTTTAGGAGGCTTTTTATTGTTTCTTTCCCCTGCACTCTTGCCTGTTTCCTGAATTCGATTACATGGGGAAAGCAATAATCCCGCTTAGTGCATTACACATAATGGCTTTTGGTAAGTCATATCCTTTTTCCAAAGCCACTGTCATGCCTCTGGAAGTTATTGCAATGTCTTGTTTTTAACGCATGTTTAGTGCAGTGTGTTGACAGTTATTTGGATTGTGTCAGCGAATGCCTGAGGGATTCTACACCTATAAAACTTGTATACATTTATAAGACAACTGAATTATCAAGGCTTTGGTGAAGAAAAAACCCAACCCATGCTCATTCTGAAAATGTACCCCTATATACAATTCTGGAGAGCGCCAAATACATCCCAGGAGCTACGTTTCTTTGCAGTTTTTGCTTTCACGAATTCACCAGAGGCCGCTGTGTACCCTTCTTCAGATCTCAAATTCAGATCTCGCGAGTGTTATTCGTCCCTGCTGTTCTCGCGTAAATCCACCAGAGGCCGCTTTGTACGCTTTTTCCGATCTCAAATTCAGATCTCGCGAGTGCTATTCGTGCCTGCTGCTCTCACGTAAATCCACCAGAGGTCGCTGTCGACTGACTGATCGACTGACCAACCCTCCTTCTTCCAACACCCAACCAATAGTGTTTTTACAAGCACCGATTGACACGCCCACCCACTTCCCTAAATCCGATGAGAGTTTTAAAGAGCAATCCAAAAAAAAGAAAAGCCCTGACCTGAGTTTTAACACGTTTTTTTAGATTTTACCACATTCTCACCCTGTTATTTACTTATTTATTTATTTTTTTTTTACTTTTGACTTTCGTTTTTGTGATACCTGCTTTCTGGAACCGTTCTTCGCCAGACTCGAACTCTGTTGTCGTGGTCAACTGCTCTCTGGTGCATATGGTGAGCCACTGGACAAACTGGTAACCGTGGGAAATTCATCCGTATGGAGGTAAAAGGTCAGCTGATAGCACGAAAAGGAAAGGCATCATATCGTCATAATCATATCGTATAAAATTAAAAGCAGTCATACGTACCTCCGACTATGTAAATCGCGGTTTCCGGAAACATCCGCGGGACTATGTTTTTTAGAATGAGCTTGGGTTGGTCAATCGTTTATTAAAGAACATTTTTGTTGAATAAAAAGTTATATTTTGATTATTTTAATGCTATATTTAAAACTTTTGGCAAGGAGGTTATTAGTTTGGTGTGGCCAGAGAAAAAAAAATTGTCACATTTTGTCGAGTCTTAAACAGTCATGTGAAATAAAACTAATTGCAATGCGACACGATGAAACCACAACCCATTTCCTCATGCTTACTGAGCGAGGTCACAACACACAAAAATATAAATTAACGAGTCATGTGACACAACACAAAATTATTACAAAGTAATTTAGCATTTCAAAGTTAAATTTATGCATATAAAATAGACTCTCCCAAATACAAAACTGTGACTAATAAAAGTGCAGAGTGGCTAGTAATGTTGGAAAACTACTAGCCACAGTGGCTGGGGATCAAAAAAAAAGTTAAGCCCTGATAACATACAGCACAAACCCAGACAATACAGCATTTTAACTAGGGATGTAATGGTATCAGAATTTCACGGTATGATAATACCTCGGTATGAATGGCATGGTACGGTGTTTATTGAATATTTTACAGGAAAAACAAAACTAATGAAAAGACTCGAAAAAAAGTGCCAAAAGTGTTTAATTACCTTAGCACTGAACATATCAATGACATACAAATTAGCCATCTATCTGTAAGTTTCAAAACAGGAACGTCAATTTTTCAATTTAAATATCAAAAAACGATTAAACCATATAAAAAAAAGGTACAAGTCAATGTCTGCATCAATCTAACAAGTGTGCTGTGTTCTGCAGTCTTTAGTCGTATTCCCCGACTTATATTTCACCACAGTCTGGCAGTGCCTGCATACTGTTTTTTTCTTTGTCTGTCACCTTTTCTCCTTTTTCGTATCTTTTTAGAAAGAAACCGAAATGCTTCCACACATCCGATTTAAAACCCGCTTTAGGTTCCATCATTTCCAGCTCTTTTTCTTCGCAACACACTCCATTTCCGCATTACTGGATCTGTAGTGACAACAGTCCGCAAAGGATGATGGGCCACGCCTAGGCTGATGGGAATTGTAGTTCCCGCCACCTCTCGTTCACTTCATTCGCCTAAGCAAACTTTTCTCAGAAATATAGTTTTATTGAGTCATGCGCCTATGGGAATATTGAAAAAACTTACTATTGCGGTATGACGGTATTTACAATATTGTTACATCCCTAATTTTTACTATTAAAAATGTTCATAAAAAGCCATTTTTTTTTTTTTTTTTTTTTTACATTTCAGGGTTAAATGTTGTTGGAAGAAAGCTCCCATAATGCAATTCAAATGCCTAAATACAAACACTTATTCTTGGTGTGGTCAAAACCTGCATCCCAAATGGCACACCATACACTATGCACGTATGCACTATATACTTATGCACTTACACACTCAACAGCATAGTATGCATGTAGTGCTGTCCCAAATGTTTTTTTTTTTTTACTAAATGGAAACTTAAACTGTTTCCCTGATGACGTTTGACGGTTTCCAAATTAGTGAAATAAATGACCAAAGCACCAAATAATACCTGCCGTCAGTATAACTGCATTCACCACCGGGAGGTGCTATATTCACTCTTGTAGAAGAATTTTGCTTTCACAATTGAAAATAAATAAAGGAATCCAACATCACTGCCTGAAAGCTCCGCCCCTTCCACTACGTGAGCAAAGCAGCAGCTGTTGAATGCGTGAAGTGTCCAACATTACACACGGTTGAATAAGTGCATCATCCGGGTATTTAAAGTGCACTTAATCTTTTTAGAGTGTGAACGCAGTACTTAAACTATTTATACTACAAAATGGTGTTAAAATGTGCATAAGTTTGCGATTTAGGCAGCTTGATCTCACGAGAAAACTTGGTATTTTACGTTTTGCCAGTTTAGTGGCTAATTCGTACGAATTCGTACAAGTTCAGTCGTACGAAATTGTACAATTTTAAAAAAGGGGGCGTGGCACCTAACCCCACCCCTAAACCCAATCGTCATTAGGGGATGAGCAAATTGTACAAAATTGTACGAATTAGAACATACAAATTCAGACGAATTAGCCACTAAATGAAAAAGTTACGAATTGCCGTGAGATTGTGTTGGATTTAGGAAGCACCTAAAGTCATTCATCTGGCCTCTACTTTTGATTTCAAAATCAATCCTAAAGTGTTTGCATTACTAAAATGTGTCGTTTTTTTCCTCTTCTCCTCTGCAGATATTCGTGCGGTTCCCTCTGCCTGCTGCCACCATGTTTAAAAACAGCTTGAAAATGCTGCTGACGGGGGGCAAAGCCAACAGGAAGAGCTGTATCAGCAGCGGTCAGTCTCAGCTTTGGTCTTTAAACACCCTGTGACATGTTTATCCACACAGATATGACCCGACTGTGTGCTTATTTGGGTTTTCCAGCCACATGAAACCGGCTGTTTAAAAAAAACAGTTCACCCAAAACTGACAATTCTGTCATCATCTATCAAAACCTGAGTTCTTTCTTCTGTTGAACCCAAAAGAAGATGGTTTGAAGGAAGCTGAAAAACCTGCAACCATTTGCATTTCTACTATGGAAGTCAGTGGTTTTCAGCTTTCTTCAAAGTATCTTTTTTTGTGTAAATGATAATTATAAATGTATAATTACAAAATAAATGTATTATGGTTTGGAACAAGTAAAGGGTGAGTAAATAGTGAGTAAATCTTAATTCTTGTGTGTACTGTTTCTTTAAATGCAGAGGTTTTAATCAGAGGGAGTATTAAAGGTCTTGTCAAGTGCTTTGAAATGTGCATTTTTTTTATTCGATGTCTGACGTAATCTCAACTGAAACATGAAGAGAGGGCGGAGCATGAAGTAGCTCCTCCCCTTTAAGAAAAACAGCCAGTAGGGTTTTTTTTTTTTCAATGCTCTGCCAGTGAGAGTGCCTGAGCTCAATAGAATAGAATGAAAAGCTAATGAGAAGCATCTTGAAAGGGGCGGGGCATGTCAGATACTGGAAAGCATTTGATTGGTCGGCAGATTTGATGAGAATCTGAAGTATGAGATGATGTCCAAAAAATCAATGATCTATTTAGGCGGACGTGACAAACTGTGGGTGTTTATATCTTCTTAATGCACATTGTGGCACACTAGATTATAGATATCCTTAAGACATACTGATTTTTAACATCTAAAAAATATTACTGGACATTTAAACACATATAAATGGATATTAGAATCAGATCACAAAATTTAGTGCACATGTAAATGGATTCAAATTATTCACATCAATAAAAATTGGTGCATGTAAAAAGCTAATTTTACTGTTTTAAAAACTTTTGACTGGAAGTGCATTTCCATGTGTTTCCTGATATAAATGACAAAGCTGCAGTGCATGAAGCAAGTATAGTCTCATTTTCAGATGCCTACAGGCCACTCACTCACCTCATGCATATCACATGCAAGACTTAATAGGATCACAAGCTCTCCAAGATCTGCAAACAGCACATAACGTCAGACCTCACCGATTTTATCAGTTCCCAGAAAGGAAAAAATAAAACCTGGTGAGGAGAAATGAAGAACTGAAATTGGCAGATTTGTGGCTTAAAGTCTTCAAAAGATGTCCAGGAAGAAATATTGAAAGATTGGTTTAATGTACATTCGCCGGCCACTTTATTAGGTACACCTGCTGCACTGCTTGTTAACGCAAATTTCTAATCAGCCAATCACATTGCAGCAGCTCAATGCATTTCGGCATGTTGAGATAGTCAAGATGATCTGCTGCAGTTCAAATCGAGCATCAGAATGGGGAAGAAAGGGGATTTAAGTGACTTTGAATGTGGCATGGTTGTTGGTGCCAGACGGGCTGGTCTGAGTATTTCAGAAACTGCTGATCTACTGGAATATTCACGCACAACCATCTCTAGGGTTTGCAGAGAAGGGTCAGAAAAAGTGGAAATATCCAGTGAGTGGCAGTGCTGTGGGTGCAAATGCCTTGTTTATTAGTTTATACACCTCTAGCGTTAATTCATCTATGGCGCATGTGTTTGGACTGTTGGGGAGACTGGAACACCAGGAGGAAACCCACACGAACACAGGGAGAACATGCAAACTCCACACAGAAATGCCAACTGACCCAGACGGAGCTCGAACCAGCAACCTTTTTGCTGTGAGGCAACAGTGCTATCAACTGAGCCACCGTTTCGCTGTCTGGATAACAGTATCAGTATATTACTCTACTGTAAAGGTGTTTTCAACTCATTTACTTCAAAGAACATAACTTATAAACATATAATAGAACGTATAATAGAACATAACTTGACTTTTGAGTATATTGAGGCAATCCAATGAAAGAAACAAAAGCACAGAGTCATTTGTAAAAATGTTTCTGATGTCATATTTACTGTGCCGTGTCTCTGAGCCCCCGTGCAATTAGCTAAAACCTTAGTACCGTCACCATACTGACACTTGAATAGATGCCTTTTTCCCACCGGAGCTGGTTTGGTCGGAAGTGATCTCATTAACCACTGAGATCAGAAACCCGTTTCTAATGCTACATTCATGTCGGAAGCCTTTTTGCCACTAGAATGGAGTCATAATCAAAGCAGGTGCTATATCTGTGTTTTCATTTTAAATATAAGTGAATTAATGAATGCGTCAGATCATGCATGTTGCACATTGTGAGTTCCACAATGCAAAAAAATAAATAAATAAATAAATTAAGGGGAATTGTATTAAATATATAGTTTTTACAAAATTAGTGAAAGAAGGGGGACATTTATTATAACGTAATATAATATTATAATAATAATAATAATAGTAATAAAAATAGCACAAACAAGAATAAAATAATACTAATTGTAATACTAAAGTAGTAAAAACACCAACAACATCAATAATAATAATAATAATAATAATAATAATAATAATAATAATAATAATAATAATAATAGTATCAACCACATCAAAAAATACAACAGCAATAATAATAATACATTCAAAAACAACAATAATATTAATAATAATAATAATAATAATAATAATAATAATAATAATAATAATAGCAGTACAACAACAAACAACATCAACAGTTGAAATAAAATTAATAGTAATAACATTAATAGTAGTAATAATAATAATAATATAATCATTATCATAATCGTAAAATAACAACATTGAATAATAATGATAATCATAATCATAATCATAAAAATATCAACAACATTAACAACATCAATAAATAGGTAGTAGGTAGTGCTGTCGCCTCACAGCAAGAAGGTCGCTGGGTCGCTGGTTCGAGCCTCGGCTCAGTTGGCGTTTCTGTGTGGAGTTTGCATGTTCTCCCTGCATTTGTGTGGGTTTCCTCTGGGTGCTCTGTCCAAAGACATGCGGTACAGGTGAATTGGGTAGGCTAAATTGTCCGTAGTGTATGAGTGAGTGTGTGAATGTGTGTGTGGATGATGTGCCAGAGATGGGTTGCGGTTGGAAGGGCATCCGCTGCGTAAAAACTTGCTGGATAAGTTGCTGGTTCATTCCGCTGTGGCGACCCCAGATGAATAATGGGACTAAGCCGACAAGAAAATGAATGAATGAATGAATGAATGAATATTAAAACAACAGCAACAATATTAATAATAATAATAATAACAGCAGTACAACAACAAACAACAACAGTTGAAATACAATTAATAGTAACAACAACAACAAAAACAGTAATGATAATAATAATAATAATCGTAAAATTTACAACATTTAATATTAATAATAATAATAATAATAATGATGACAATAATAATAATAATAATAATAATAATAATAATAATATATCAACATCAACAAATACAACAACAATATTGATAATAATAATAAGAGTAGTACAACAACAACAACAGTTGAAATAAAATAATAGTAACAACAACAACATTCATTCTGCAACTGTTTGATATGTGAATTCAGTAAAAAGAATGGTAGAACTGTATGAGCACCGGCAAGAGCTTTCATTTGAGCTATAACTTGTACATGCGTCATATATGAACCATATGAAAATCATGAAAATAAACCAATGATCAATACCCAGCTCGGGTATCCAAAATGCTGTGGATTTAAGTGTAAATAACTTTTGCACAGTAGAATAAAAACCAAAGTGATGCATATGTGCAAATAATATAGATTCTACACTTTCAAACGAAACCACATACACAGGTCTGAATCAATGCTAGCCCTTTAAATCTTAAAGCGAAAGTCGATGACGTCACGGATCCGCAGAGTTTAACTGGTTAAATTTGAAACCAATTAATTAGTTACAAAGCTCTCATATGCTCTCTCTCTCTCTCTCTCTCTCTCTCTCTCTCTCTCTCTCTCTCTCTCTCTCTCTACAGTATATTCATCTATAGGACCCACACAGCATGTTCCTTTGTCTCTTTCTCTCCTTTCTCCATCAAAAGTATGCATATGCCCTGCTCTCTCTGTATCTGCTGCCCTTGACCAATGTAATGATGATGATCAGCTACTCAAATGCCACCTCACTTTCCAGCAAACTTTTCCACATATCTCTGTCTATTATTTCCCTCCATATTTCTCATCCTCTAATTATCCTTTTCTCTCTATCACCTTGCATTCCACACTTATATACTGCATTATTCTGTTCGGTGTACTGAGCTTTACATCTAATGAATAATAAAGGGTGGCACATGTGTAATTATGAGATGAGGATGTGTGTGTGTGTGTGTGTGTGTGTGTGTGTGTGTGGGTGAAGAGTTCAGGAATGAATGAAACGCTGTTAATTTCAGGGGGGAAATCACATTGCTTGTGTGCTTTTCATGCTGTAAATGTGTCGATGCTGGAGGAAATATTGGATTTCTTTTCTTTTTAACCTGATCAAAATGATCAAGGACTTTTTTTTATTGTGTCTGAAATTTGATTCAGACACACGCAAGGAAGATGAGGAGGAACAGATGGACATTTTTATAGACTGAGGAGAAATGTTTGCTCAGAATTATTCATTCATTCTTTTTCCTTCGGCTTTTTCTTCAGGGGTTGCCACTGCGGAATGAACTGCCGACTATTGCAGCATGTGTTTTAAACAGTGGATGCCCCTTCTAGCCATAACCCAGCTCTGGGAAACACCCATTCACTCTCATTCACACACACATACTCATACACTGGCTAATTTAGTTGATTCAATTCACCTATAGTGTGTTTTGGTTGTGGGGGAAACCAGAGCACCCGGAGGAAACCCACACCAACACAAGGAGAACAATTATTAGCCCTTCTGAATTATTAGCCCATCTCTATATTTTTTCCAAATCTCTGTTTAACGGAGAGCAGATTTTTTCAGCACTTTTTTTTAACATA